CAGGGGAGAACCCCAAAACCCCAAAACCCCAAAACCCCAAAACCCCTCAGCTTGCGCATTTTATTGACAATATTTTGGGTGGTATTCAGACCTGTTACTATACCTTTTATAATTTTGTTCAAGCCTTCATATTCCCAAAATTATAGGAATCAAATGACAGATCATGATTACGAGACTGCCTTGAGGTGATATGTTTCTGTTCACGAAGCAAACTTTTATCAGACCTAATTTCTTTATTGATATGGTCCTGATCGGCATCTCAAACACAGAGGAGATCATTGTTCTTATCAGTTCTATTGCTCATATTCGAATCCTACCTTCTGGTTCTAATTTTAGTCTTCTCATGGTTTTGTTGTCGCCCTATGTCACCATCATTATTGAGATTTTGAGGAGTCACAAGGTCTAATCTTACCTTTAACTTGTCTCTTAGTCGAATTACCTGCTACAACCCTGGGTTTACTGACAAGAGTAGACATATGGCTCTTCTTCAAAAAAGAGCGTGACCTATTTTCTTCTTTACTATTCAGATTTGAGTTCCTGAGCTCTTCTCTACCCTTAATAGAGATAGTCATGAAATGCTGGAGCATGTCCTCAGGTCTATGCACTTAGGAGAAAAATACTTTAATTCTGGCTGGTTAGTTACTTTCCTTGCGCTTGATTATGTTCTTCCTTATCTTCTTGATTAGCAATTTATTTCTCTATAGGAATATATTTGAAAATATACTCATAGCCTTCCTGTCAAACATAAGAGATTGCTTAAAATCTTGAATAGTAGACTTAGGAGGTTGAAATAATTCTATAGGTGAGAGGTTGGCTTCCTCTCGCTTCGCTATATCCCTCCTTGAGGAGATAAATATAGGGCTAACTAGTGTATTCATTTCTTTGAATTCTGTTAGATTTAACTGCGGTAGCAACTTTCCAATCATATTCGGTCCCTTTTCATTTTTACATTGGCTATCTCTCGATTCCAAATCTACGAAATTAGTCAGATTGAGGATAAAAGTAAAATCTTACTTCTTCTACGAAATATAGAGTTGAAAGTCTCAACCTTCTCGTGACTTTGTTTTCTCCTATGTACAGAATCAAACATTCCCAAGTTTGGGGAGATAGGGGTACTTCCTTACCATCCAAATGCATTTCTGCTACAAAGTTAGACCCAAACTTACTGATTTTGAATCTTTGGGAGGAATGAAGAGTGTTCCAACTTGGGAAGTGTGCTCATAGCCTCCTCTCTGATGCCTATAAAGTAAGGAAAATGAGTACCAGCTATTCTTCTGATGTTCATTTTTATTCAATTATTTATTCGCATTATGGGGTTTTGGGGTTTTGGGGTTTTGGGGTTTTGGGG